AAATGTGAAAGTTTTTGAGAACGTATGTATGTATGTTTGGTATTCTTTCACGCCAAAACGGCTGGACTGATTTGGCTAAAATACCTCGGGCGGAAGCTGTGTACTTATTATTATTGACTAACCTTAAACAAATAACAAACAGTCAAATATTATTCACGTATAACTATGAGATATGGTATGAGGAAATGTAACTTTCATAGTTATCTATAACTGACTCACTGTGATGTCATTCCGATTTTTAGCAGCGATTTATTATTCCACCACTTTTTAATTACTCACGTGTATTAACTGAGGTTCTACAACGCGTCTCTTACTTTTAAACAGCGAGAAGCTTTACTAGTTTCAAGTCACAACGGGACTCTATGTATATAACTTTATGTGTGGGAGAGCCAAGCTGCGGCACGAATGGGTCGGCTCGACCGAAGTGATACCACGGCCTCACAGAAAACCGGCGTGAAACAACCACAGCGTTGTGTTTCGCCGTGTGAGTGAAGTTACCGGTGGCCCCATCCTTTTCCACCCCCAGTCTCTCCTCAATCCCTAAATCTCCAAATCCCTAATCCCTAAAAGGTCGGCAACGCACTCGTAACTCCTCCGATGCGGGTGTCCATGGGCGGCGCTGATTACTTACCATCAGGTAAACCGTCTGCTCGTTTGCCGAGCGAGACAGCGAGAAGTTCTACTTGTTTCAAGTCACATCGGGACTCTTATTTACTACGTCGCGCAAGCTCACAACCGACATCCTCCATTTGCTTACTACGCTAGGTTTCCTGAAGCGGGATAAGTATTGCAACGCAGTGCCAAAGGCGTGAGCTACTTACCTGTCCCTACAACGTTAAAACTTGGCATTCTACCTGCCTGATACTACGAACGTTTAACATAGTGATATGATGCAATTTTACTTATTTAGGGATAAACTTTATTATGCTTAATAACGGATAAAACTACATATTAAATGTTTATCAGTATTTGAATTTTGTATTTTTGATATCTATATCATCATGCCAACTGCTGAGCTAAGGCCTCTTCTCATATTGAGAAGTTTAGAGCATTAATCACCACGCTTGCTCAATGCGGGTTGGCGATTTCAAACTTATAATAAGAAATTATAAATCCAGGTTTCCTCACAATGTTTTCCTTCACCGTATGTCAGTGGTGTCTAAAGAATCATAAAAAGTACATATAACTCGGAAAAAGTCACATTGGTACTTGCCAGGTTTCGAACCCACACTCTCATGCATGAGAAGCGGGCTCCTTAACCTCCAGGCCACCACGACTATTATTGATATCTATATGCCTTTTTCTATTCTGATAGCGCCATAATAAAGATGGATAGGATAGGCATCTAATACGAGAACTTAACAAAAAACTAATTTGTAAAATATTACCTTTAATAGGTACTAGCTTTTGCCCGCGCCTGTGTTCGCGTACAATAGTACATTGCTTGCGACTGTGTTCACGTAGACATAGTGACTTTCTGCAGATTTTTGGTTTAAAAATTATGCCATGTCCTTTCTCGAGTTCTAAACTATGTCTGTACCAAATTTCACAGAAATAGGTTCAGCAGAGTTACTTTCGCATTTATAATATTAATAGTTTGGATATTAATGCTTTACTATAACTACATACCTGACTAACTTACATGACATATCTGGACGCAGACACTGAACATATAGAATTAAAGATTGTTTAGTTGTGTATTGTTTCATGAAATTACTACCTACAAATGACATAGTTTTAGCTTTAAATAAACACGACCTTAGTACACCAATAACTAAATTTAATACTGTACCGTAAAATGCGAGCGACAAGCATGATCATCCGCTCGACTTTCCATTGTAGTTCCAGCTTTAGTTTCCATATTTTTTGTTTGTTGTCCATTTTAGTGGCAATTGTTATGCCGTGCACCCACTGAGGGAACAATATGTCGTATATCATCACCTGACGAGACCTGTCTCTTCGTTGACGCAGAGCGACCTGGCCGAAGCGTTGGCTGAGCAATGTGCATTGTGTACTGGCTTCCTTATAGTGCGTCGCAATAAGGAAAGGGATTGAAAACCTGCTAAATTGTTGCTCAAGGAATTTTGATTTAGACTATGTGAATAGAGCAAGTAGTTGTGGTGGCCCGGAGATTAAGATGCTGCTTCTCAGGCATAAGGGTTCGGTTCGAAACCTGGCAAGTAACAATGTGACTGTTCAGAGTTATATGTACTTTCTATGATTGTTTAGACTCCACAGACATACGTTGAAGGAGAACATCGTGAGGAATCGCCAATCCACCTAAACAAGCGTGCTAATTAATGTCTAAACCTCCTCTATGTTAGAAGAGGTCTTTGCTCAGCCGTGGTCACTTATAGGCTGCTGATGATGTGGAAGAAGGAATCAAACAAAAAATGTAGAAGAGATCCGTTGTATTAAAAAGGAAAAGTAAAATATACTAGACAGACCCATCTTTTTAAAGAAACAAACAAGGAAATCTTGATAAACCAACACATTTCTCATAACATGTTTTTTTTTACCGAATCTTCTCCAGCATCCGCGTTCTCATTGGTAACGTGATGCGAAACGCGTGTTAATTAATCTTATATATAGTTAACTTTCCATCCGTTTACTAATTATGGTTGGCTAATTAAAATATTTTAAGTACTTATAGGTTAGAAGTATCCATAATTAATAAAAGACCTTTCCATTATCGTATATAAAAACATTTGCAATTTTTTATCTCGCTTTCATTATAAGTAGAGCATCAATCACATCTCATGTTTAATAGAAAATAGACCTAACTCATAAAATAGTCTAGATGATTTCAAAATTGTACATTATTATTGAAACAATATAATAACGAATACAAAATAATAATATCCATCACATTTAGATTAAAACTGTTCAACGGGCCTCTGCGAGTTGGCTTCGGCCGCTCGTAGGTGGGTACGCCTTCCAAAGGTCCGGGACCCTGTGATCCCGTGAAAGTAAAGAACAAACAAATAATATTATAAAATTAATATAACGCTATATTAATGAAACTTAATATGTTTTTATATTCATATCTTAACCGCCACTCAAAAAAAACAAACCAAAAAATCAATCAATTTAATACCATAATCTCACGCCACAAAGTTTAAAATTAAAACAGTAGGTCAATATTCTTGTTTGCTATTTAAATACGGTATGGTGTATGGGAACTTTAGCTATCGGTCGATTTACGCTTGACCGGTTTGTTAAATTAATTAGTAGATGCAAACATTACTGTTTGGTCACGTCTTTCCTAGTTAGACGGTGCTTAGTGAGCTCTCTCCATTATCGCAGCCCTTACATATATATGTATATACATATATAAACACGTATGCTGGTATTAACTTTCTATTGCCTATATAGCTACGTAAGAAGATTCTATGTAAGAAGGTTTTTTATGAACATAATCATAGGTTTTTTTATTTATTGTAATAAAAGTAAGAAAATTCTATGTAAGAAGGTTTTATATGTACATAATCATAGTTTATTTTATTTATTGTAATAAAAGTAAGAAGATTCTATGTAAGAAGGTTTTATATGTACATAATCATAGTTTTTTTTATTTATTGTAATAAAAGTCTACTGAGTGGCAAGTACTCTAATGAGACCCCTTTCGTATTTTAAATCGACAATCCGCCTTGAGTAAGCGTGGTGGTTAATCCTCAATCCTTTTTCGAAGGAGAATAGGCCTTTGCTTAGCATTGGACACTTATATTTTAGCCGTTAGTGATGATACAAATATGGAAGTCGAAATAAAAATAATCATTGAAAATTCACCTCTAATTACCATTTCATGACTATGATAATATGACTCTTTAGAAAATTAAAAAGCACACTAGGTATATAGTTTTAAAATTAAGTATGAACTAAAAAAAAATGATACCTATCTTTTTGTAAAGAGTCGTATAACTTATACTCGTATTACGCTTACACTGTTAGTATACTTACATCTATGCCTTGTCCGCTTCTCGTTAAAGGATAGTAGTGGCAGCTTAGCTTCAAAAAATAAACGCCTGAACAGAAACACACAACGAAACAGTTTCAAAAAAAAGATGGATCCTATGTCTATAATTGTAAAGAACCTTTGTCTGTCAAAAGGGTCCCATCAAAAAACCCTAAAATTCGTTCCAATTTTTGTTTCTACCTGGCCATATTATTGTACCGACGCTTCACGTCGGGAATCGAAAGCCGGCCTTTGTGGGCGCCGCGACCACAGAACGGTCTTTCTGCTATTAAACCATACCACGGTACAACGCAGACGTCTTGAATTGATACAGATTGCACTTTGTATTTCCTCCGCTTTTTCATTCGGTTGCTTTTGTATTGATTTAAAATTCTGAAAATGAGTACTTAAGTAAGATTACTGGAAAGTGAAAGAAGAAGAAAGAAAAAACATTTATTTTCGCGCAAGCGCACACACATAAAACAAATATACAAAAAAAGAAGAAAATAAAATAGTACTAAAAATCTAAACTAAATGACACAGATAAAAATGAAATGGTTTTAAAAAAAATGTTTATTTAATAATTAGGTACATTATATTTTATTGCATGTTCCGTAATATTATATACACAATACAAAAAATCTAAGTCATACATACAAGAACAAATGAACAATGAAATAGTAATAATACTTCGTTTTTTCATGAAGGGCTAAAAATGTTAAGAATCGAAAAAAAATCCGCATCGTTGTCAACAGAGAAAATGCACAGAAGACGTGCAGCTTGTTGCAAGGCTTAACTTCTGTACAATTAAAATGTAATACTATGTTATAAAAGGTAAAGATATATTTATATGTATATTTAATTTAGGTGTCTTCAAGGCTAAAGTGAATATAGGCTCTTAATAAACTAGTGCGCCTTACCATCAACGATTGCATCACTGCTTACCATCAGGTGGGATCGCAGTCAAGCACTAGTTTATGGCAAGTAAAAAAAAAATATGATAACTTGAATCAACCTTTTCATAAAACCTGTCATGTTTAAAAACATGGAGATAAAATGTAAGTGGATCATGTAATTATGCTAAATTCTAAAGATAATGTCTTGTTGATACTTGTGACATTGTTATGTGGGAAAAAGAAGCTAATAGCTGATGATTGGTAAGAATAAAAATACTGCTGTTCCTCCATAAAAATACTCCTGTGAAAGATATTTGAATTCTATACACACACAGCAGGAAACAATTTAACTTTAGCACATATCAATAAAAATTAAATGTTAACCAATACAAAAACTACTTAACTTTAAAATCTATACTAATATTATAAAGAGGTAAAGTTCATCGCGGTAGTGAGAGATGCGCTGGATCGAACAAAACCGGTGGAGGCGGATCATCCGCTTCAGATGTTACCCCGATGATCAGACATGAGGGACCGACTATAAGAAAGAAGTTTGTAAGTTTGTATGTTGAGGGTAATCTTTGGAACCACTTTTTGGATGGCCAAAATTCTTTCATTGATAGATAGCTACAATGTTCTTGAGTGCTATAGGCTATAAAACATCGCGCTACGCCATCGGTGAAACCACGCGAGAGTAGCTAGAGACTAATAAACTCTAATACACTATTTAACAACTACCAGTAACGAAGCGTATCGAATAAGCTTTCTAACCACTCCTTCAAACATGTCTTCCAAAAGCTGCCCTAGAAAAAGTAGGCACCAAACCCATTAGGGGCCATAAGCCTACCATTACCTCCTATTCTACCTGTACCAGCACATAATAGGTTGTACAATTGGATCGCAGGCAGGCTGTATCTAAAAACTGTTTATTACTCGGTACTACACAGCCGGCTAATTTGGTCGCTAGCTAATTTCTGGATAACATCGTCTGCGCGGGCGCACTCCGTGCCACATTCTTGCGCGTCTAAGAACTAATTAAGTCTACCCTGCGCAAGCGCACACCCTCCGATGTTTGTGATGGGACGGACTCGGATGGAATGAACTACGAATTATGTATTAAGAAAAGTTATTATCGAGAAAACTCTTTTTAATGTTAACAATATTGTATAAACAGTATGAAATTAAGAGTTATTTAAGAAATAACTAGAATTTAAGTATCACCTAATATTTTAATATAAAACTGATCTGCCACAGTAAAAACTGATACGAGGCTTATACTTTCTAAAACATTTATAACCATCTTAAGATTTTAAGCATGTTCTAATAAAATATAAATTAAAGGGGTTTCTGAATTTCATAATCTTGTAAAATTATGTAGCGGCTTAAGCCTGATAGGTATATCTCCAAGTAAATGCATTTCATATCTTTATTAGTTTCGTAGATAGTATTTAATAGCCGTGAAGGTGACTATTAATTGACTTGCATATAGGTAATTATTTAAAAGCGTATGTTCAACGTCTCGGTGGTCTAAGCCTACATGGCTGTTACCGACAATACTTTAGTGCGAGAGGCAATAAAAAAAGAGTTCCATTAATGTTTATGTTTAAATATAAAATTACAACAGATAAAGCCGGTTATAAAGTAGCGAGGTGACCGGATGTGATATAAGCATTTCATTTTATTGTTACCAGCGATAGTCAGATGATTAATAAAGATCACCTACCCAACTTTAAGTTATTATTTACTAGCTTTTGCCCGACTCCGTTCCCGTGGAATAGTGACTTCCTGGTTTAAAAACTATCCTGTGTCCTTGCTCGAGTTCCAAACTATGTCTGTGCCGAATTTCACAGAAATCGGTTGAGTAGTTTAGGCGTGAAGAAAAGACATACAGACAGAGTTACTTTCGCATTTTTAAAATTAGTATAGACTGTGAAATATAAAAGTCTACGAGATACAGGTACGATACGATATACATATGCGAGTACTAGCTACTCTCGCGCGGTTTCACCCGCTGCTCGGCTCCATTTGATCGTAGTGTGACGTTTTATAGCCGAGCACTCAGGAACATTGTAGCTATCTATCAGTGAAATAATTTTGGCAATCCGACCAGCGGTTCCAAAGATTACCCCCCTAAATACAAACTTACAAATTTTGCCCCTTTATAATATTAGTATACATATAGATATAGAAATAATCCCATAAAAAAATCTTATTCAAAAGCACAAACACACCCACGTGTGAGGCTTTACCAAACATTTGTAGAAAATTAAGTGGAACGATAAAATCTTTAACATCGTTTTTGTTCTTGGATCCCAATTTATTACCTCAATTAAATTAGCCCATATCCTTCGTCGATGAGAAGTCACCTCTTAAAACACTTCGTAAACATTATGAGACGAACTATTTCAAACAAAAAGGACTAAAACAGCTCACCAACTTTATTGTACACTATAAACGTAAATAAATCTTGAATATGTGTACACCTACCTATATGTATATAAATATTTTATAGAATAGGTCGACAGACAATCATGCTGTTCACCTGGTGGTAGCAATAGTCGCAGCCCGTGGAAACCCGCCATACTTTGTTACAAGAGCCTTACTTGCTTTTTGTTGGGGATATGAGGGTATTTGAAGATAGGTAAGCATTACGCTTCTGGTAATTTCACTCAAACACGCATATATAATGCAAGCTTAGGTTCACGTTTACTGGAACCGTTGTCTCACTCCAGTCGTGGCAAAGCATGGTTTTCCCACACTTAAATAATGTTCTCATACCAAATAAGTTTCAAATCCGACCCTGTCTAATATCCTGGATAATCTCTGCACAACGATTATTATTATAAAGTTTAATATCTACCTCAGACGATAACACACAGGCCGTTCCGAAATAATGTAATTTTTCAAACTCTGTGATATCATCAACATCATACATGTTTTTGTTTCGCGAATAATTATCCAGCCGTTGAAAGGAGACCCCAAAACACTATGCACTTCACAATTTTTTCATTAAGCGCTGTGTGGCTCTGAGGCTAAATAAGACTGGTCAGCTATAAAACTCAGGTTGTCTACCACGCCCACATTGGCAGTTTGCGAGGGCTCGAAAAATAAAAGAGTACTCTTAATCCGTGATAATGTTCTTCGTAATAACAGCTTGAATATAATTAAATATAAGAAAAAACAAATTCCTTGCGAGAATCGCCATCAAACCGTTGATTAGTTGTAAGAGAATAGGGTATTGATGTTGTTTTATGTTGCTTCTGAGTTGATTAAGTATCAAATGTTAAGTATTACAATAATAAAAACTCATCCAGTGTAATATGTCTATCTCTGACATCACGTGCTCCAGAGACAGTAGCGTGCAACGGGATGCGCTTAAGGCTATTATTTTGACAGCAAAAACAAGATGGAGGACGAAGATTGCGCGCGAAATCGATCGTCACGAGCGCATTCCGCTCACACTGGACGCGTGCCGGAACAAAAACTAGTATACGAAAGTAATTTTCCTGGGATGTCTGGCATGCGTACACATAGAATAACATCCTATTTAGTTAGATGATTTGAAATATTCGCGGAGAATTCTTAGCACAAGGAATGCCTGCAATTTTTCGCGCTAGACTTAACGCACGCCAACTTAACCGAATCGATTACAGTAACACGATGAAATGTATGTAACTGTGTATAAAAAACCGTTGTTTTAATCGTGCTTTATAAATCAGGCATTAAATATGAACGGAAACTTTAGCGGTGTACTACCATTAAGATCATTTTAATTACTCTGAATGATAAAGGTTCGGAACTCAAATAAAACCTAAATGGTCTCAAATTATAATCATCAAAAGTTTCATGACAATTCCGACCGTAAATGGTCACAGTTTTAAGAATTTATCAGGTGCCAAATTATAATAACATAAAAATATTATTATAATCTGTATAAAAGGATTAATTTAAACCTTATCTATTCATAAATAAAACCATCCTAATGAATATTCATAAACAGTAGGTACTGACAAAGTTCTTGTTTCTATCAAAGCCGAATATTATTTACTTTTTGCTAGCATTTTAAAATTATTAATCCAATATTACAAAAAACAAATAAAACACTCTTACAAGTCTAAGCTAATTCCAATCCAGAATGAGAGTTCAATGAAACCGAGCAACAAGCAAAAACAATAAAATGAACACAATCGATTTTCGTAATAAAAATACATAAGATTGCCAACGGTGGCTACGCGCAGTACATTATTAAGGCTGTTGAGTCAATATGGAAATATTTAAATGTTACCTAAAACAGAATACAATGGAAAATATCTACGCATGGTTATTACCATTATGGCCGACAATCGTGGTCATTATGGTATTGAATACTTTATTGAGTAATTTTCTGAGTTAAATCGTATGGTTAACCGGAATTATTAAAACTAATTGCCATTGAATTATTGCGGCCAAGGCTTATACACTTCGATTCTTTGTGCAATCAAATATTTATAGTGTTACGTATATGTACCCGCGGCTTTTAATATAGGGAATGAAAATGAGCTAGCATACGATTATAGTTTCGTATCATGCATTTAAAAATGTTAAAATTTTCGTTCTACAGACTCACTGTCAATGTTTCAAGGATAAAATTTCCCGAACATCAGATGATTCAAGAGTCAAAGGTCAGACGATCGTCTGCGAGACCAGTCCACGGACATTTGGCGGGAGTGCGGGGTCACTCACGAAATAGTAATTGTGGAGGAATGCAAGGAATCCGCCGCGTTTCTGTGCGATTTCACAACAATAACCCAATAAAACAGAAAACTCAGTCGAACTCGCCCCGGCCTTATAAGACAACCAGTCTCCCTTCTCGGTCGGGTTACACAAATAAGTATGGAAGTCGTGATGGGACCCACGCCTTCGGGCCAAACTGAACAGATGCGCGGAAGTCGAAGACATGCGAAGCTTTTTTTCAATAATGAACTGTCACCCGCAGGCTCGAAATGTATTTCATTAAAAAAAAGTTAACTTTTTTCCAAAACAAACAATGGACAGTGCTCGCGGTGTGTCATTATTCGTAATTAATTTAGGCACTGGCCACAACGAATGCTTCACGAGCGGAACGCACGGCCAACTTGATTCAAAGATTGATTCCCATAAAATGTATGAATGTGTGTAAAGAAACACACAAAAACTTTCGACTAAACCATCAAAAAATTACCCGAATCCGGTCCCAAATTATTGTGTGATTTGTCTCGGCACAACACACGTTAATTGTTTTATTCGGAACAGGTAAAACTCTCGTAATTATCCCGGGCCACAATGAAAATAGGCGGGAAAAAATAGACAAAGAATGGCCGACATCTTTTTTGTAACCCCTTATACCTGGTCAGGGGACTGAGTCCAAACATTTGGGTTTTGAAATAATTGCGTTCGCATCTTGGCAAAGTATTATAGCAAGGTAATTGCGAAGCAATCTTTGAGATCTTAAGGAAGATGTCTTTACAAGTGATGTCGCGTACATTGTCATGTTTTTTCTCACAACAAAACTGACGGCACCTGACGATGGGCCTGTC